GTGGGTGTGTGGGTGTGTGTGTGTCTGTGCATGTGCATGCGCATGTGTATGTGTAGGTGTGCGTGTGTGTGTGTGTGTGCATGTATGTATGCGTCTGTGACTGTGTGTGCATGCATATTCACATGCATATGTATATATGTATATATCTGTATATATGTATGTGCATGTGTTTTTGCGGTTGCATCTGTTAGTCTAAGTGTATCAGTATCTGTGTCTGTATATGTTTTCGTACATGAACCTGTAGAATACATGCATACATACATACATACATACATACATACATACATACAGACATACAGTGTTGTTAAGCGTGTCAGCTGCTGCTGCAACCACTAAGCACTGGTGGCTGTATGTCATGTTCTGGATACCTGAGGCAGTAAGCGAGCATGATAGCAGTTGACTGTCGATGGCCAAGAAGCTGATGTTTTCCTTGCAGGTTGCCCAAACCCTGCCCCCCCTCTTCGTCGCCGGTGCCTTGCTGCCAATCGCTGGCGCGTACCCAGGCTCCTGCAAGAAAGCAGGCCCTTGCTTTCAACTTCGGCCCTCCCACAGTCCGCTCCTTGATAGGCTTCCCCTCGCGAAGGTCCCTGAGCATCATCATGACCAGGGAGGACGGCTTGTTGGAGCGCTCGAGGTGCCTTGAGTCTTGAGCTTGTCAACAAGCTTGACAGGCGTGGCACCGTTCATGTGAGGGCATTTCGCCAGCGAAGCAGATGGTACATGGCATGAGCAGATTGTAGATAGCCGGACATCACTGCAGTGGATCAATGAATCAAAGACTGGATGCACCTTGTCTCTGACTTGTGCTGCAAAAGTGCGGTTGCATGAGTTGAAGTGGGCTCAGAATCTGCTAGACTCGGTTCATTGCAGCGGCCACGAGATGTGCAATGCATCACCCATCATCACCCCATTCCAGACACGTCGCTTGACAAAGAGCAAGATGCGCTTGAAGGAAAGGTCCGGCTTAGCTTGGACCCGGTTCGGTTCGGTTTCAGTACTGAAACTTCTGTCAGGGAGGCCAACCCCTCAAAAAATGACTTATTTTGACCCGCTTGCTTGGTATGCGGATCGGATTGCTGTTGAAGGCGCATGCTTGGACACTATCGCATGTTTTGCGCTTGGCTCGATTTGGCAAGGGAGTGATGTCGACCTCTCTTCCTTGGAGTCTCGGCAACGGCTCGGACTCCGGCTTCTGGATTTTGCTCAAGTCGCCCTCAATGTCGTCGCGGTTGTGGAGAACCTTCGCAACACGCATAGGGGGAGCTTGTCTCCTGGCCTTTGGGAGGTGCTCTCCAGGTCGAGGAGTTCCGGCTTTGGTCGCCTGGCATGGCCCTGTTCGCTCTGAGAGCAGCCCCGGGTGTGGCTGGGACCCAGTGGGCTCTGCCCACGTGGGGGCAGCCTTACCACCTTGCCTTAATGTGGTGCTAAGGGCACCACATCTCCCGTGCTACTACAGCAATACATCCCCAGCTTGCTTTATCCTGCCTTTCAGGCCTTTCCTGATTGTCGATGTCGCACTGGCAGCCTTTCCATTACTGACTGAACGCAACATCATGTCTCAGTATGTCTCAGTGCGACTTTGTGACCTCGGTTCCAGTTGCCCGTACCAAGACTCAGAAGAGTTGATATGTTCTCAAATGTGCTCCAGAACCTCTCCATGTTCTCCCGGCCCCACCTCCGCCAGCTTCACTGCTGCTTGAGCATCTAAGCGATTCCGCTTCGCAAAGTCGTGGATCTGACAGGAGCAAGACATGGCAGAGCAGAGCCCCTGCAGCCAAAAGGCGTCTACGACACCTGAGCCGCTCCTGCTTGTCCAAGGCTGTCATACCCTTGAAGGTTCCCATGCGCATATCTTTCAGCTTCATCATGAGCATTCCTGCAGAGCTCTTGCATTGAGGATTCTACTTGCATCCACAGGCGGAAACAGGCAACGGTACAAAGTTCAATCTCTTGCAAGCCTCTCTGCTCCGTCAACAGCTGAGCCCGATGCCGGACGGGTTCTTTGCCCCTTCCAAGCCCACCCAGAGGGCTTGCAAGTCAGACTCAAACCTGAAGGGGCAGACTATGCGTGACTGGCAGCTGCTTGCGGAGATAAGGAGTGGTGGCACGACCACATGCAACAAAGACGCGTCGCTCTTCGCTTCTTCATTTCTTCATCGAGGGCGCGCGTGGCACGATCATCTTAGGGGCAAATGCGATCTGAGTTCTGGCTCTTTAAGGCAGACCCACATGCCCGGGCAGCAGTCCAGCCTAGGCCGTGGTACTCTGCAAGCTCGGACACTTGAGGATCAATTCCGGCATTCTTGATCTGCTCGTACTCAGTGGCCACCTGCTGGAACCTCAGTTTGCTGGTGTTTTGCACGTGCCGGGTTCACGGCATTATGGAGTAGCGGAGCCAAGGTATCTGCAAAGAATCGCACCAAAGGCTTTCAGGGAAACTCTCTATCACACAAGACTTCCCATTGCGCATACAGTGCGATGCTGAGCTTGGTCTTCGTGGACAAGGACAGGAAAGTGAAAGTCTGCCTCCAAGTCGCCGCATCTGAGCCAAGGCTTCGGAGTCCAGCGACCCAGGAGGTGGTAGCCCAGGGAATGGCAGCTTCGGGAGTGCTGGCGGAGGGCCGATACCTCACAAGGCGGCTTAAGGCCAGTCCAGACTTCTTCCAGACTTTCGCTGTAAAATTTTCTTGATGGTATGTGTGCCGGCCTGGTGGCAGCTGCAGACCAAGCCCTCCTGGGCCCGGGGGTGGCGGTAGGCCTGCAGACAAGGCCGAGCCTTGAAAGACAAACTGCGATGCCATAAAGCTTTTGGAATCTTCTGGGGCTTGAGTACATCGAAGCTCCCCACAGCTGTGTTCTGGGCGTCCCTTGTGTTGCTATCTCTGTTCCGGACAGTTGCAAGCAAAGGCTCATCTCGAATTTTGTGTGCGCAGACAACACTGGTGCATCGGTTGGTGAGGTTTCAGATTTGCCGAATACAAGGTGGGTCGGCTTGCTCTTCATTGCGGCGCCAACGCTTTCACCAATCAGTCAATAAGGGCAGCGTTCGCAGGAGTCGCTTCTGGCCTGGGGGCATCTGCAGCCCGCCCAGGCAGCCACAGCCGCCCATCGAAAGCCCGGGCATGGTGAGGCCGGGAGGGCCCGGAGGCACTCCGGGTGCACCAGGGATGCCCGGCACAGCTCCAGGAATTTTCGGGGGCACCACTCCAGGAGCTTGGGGTGCTCCGGGAAGACCCGGGAGGGGAAAGCCGAGTGCTGCAGGGTCTAGGGCTCCTTCAAACACATCATCAAGGACACTCAGACCTTCCTGCTCATACCTTTACACTAGAATGGCTCCTGCTGGTGGCATCGGTGCTACACCCGGCATCTCCATCTCCCCACCACCATCCTTAGTTGTGTGTTTCATGACCAATCACTGGTGAATTCTGGCTACTTCGTGACTGACGATGGCTCTGGTTCTGCCGCCTAGCGGCACCCCCACGCTTCCGTCCCATGGCCTCACAAGCCCAGCTGCCTCGGCTCAGAGAATGGTCTTGTTGGAGTCATGTTTCACAGCAGTTGCTATTCCACTTTCGAATGTGACCCGGCTGCACACCTGAACGTTCTTCTGGCCCGGACGCAAAACATAAAGGCAAAAACATCCTTCTCGAAAGCGGATCCGAAAGTCGGGTCGGCCACTCACTCGGAGTTTCCAGCTTTTCGGGTCACGAACCTTTGAACAAATGCAGCTGTGCAGCAGCGTCTGCTGGTGCAATCCCTGACGCATGAACGAATGGCAAAGCGTCGCAAGGGAAACCTTTCTCACAATGCTAAAGCCCAAGCTCTAAAACTCTGAGTTTGTGAAGAAACACCTTGCTGGACACAGATGTCGCAGCTGGAACCCGTGCTTATGCTTGAAACGGGCTATCGTGTGTGCTAAAGGAACACTCCTACAATTGCAGCTCAACACTGGCCCACGTGTCTCCGAGCCGAGATCTTGCCGCTGTTCAAAGCGGGAACAAGAGATACGAGTGGCCAAAGCTAGTTCACTTGTTTTGAGGCTCTCACCCGGCAGCGCAGCCACATTCCAGGTCTCATGAGATACTAGTTACTAGCAAGCAAACAGAAGAACCCTTCAGGTCCGCACGCGACTGACCGGGATAAATGTCCCTGGCCAAATGCACGATCTTTCTGTAAACAACAGAACTACAAGAATTTGTCAGAGCTGCCTGATAATTTCTTTCGAAGCTTCAGCAGTAGACCAGTCTTCTGGCGAAATCATCTTCCACTGGAAGCGTGCACGGTAGCCTGGTGGTCGCGAGAGCTCAGCCGACCTCAGCACCGGGCTCGGGGACGCGGGGGCACCCGAAAACGTCGCCTTCTTGCCGGAAGGCGGTCCTTCCTCCGCTCATGCGACTGGTTGAAATTGGCACAATGGTTTCTCAGAAGGTCTGGCTTAGTCGCGGACTCCATTTGTCTCTGTGGACGACCACCTACCTGCAAACGGAAGCTGCAATGCCGGTTTCACGGAATATGTTGTTCAGACCTCTTGATCTGCTGCACAGAAGCGGATCGGAAGACAAAAAGCATGAACAGTGTAGATAGTACTAGATGCAGCTTGGGACACTTTGAAAGGCAGATGATCTGGCAAAGCCATGAAAGATTGCCAAATGGGTCGGGCGTAAATGTTGAAGAAGTTGACTGCAATGTTCAGGTTATCTTGCATGTCTCTCGGTTTGTGACTGCTTGTCTGCGTATGCATGCATGCATGCATGCATGCATGCATGCATGCATGCATGCATGCATGCATGTATGCATGTATGTTTATCTGTATGTATGTATGTATGTATGTATGTATGCATACATGTAGTTACATTGCATCTACATGTGAAACATTACACCTACACACGCACACACACACACACATATATATATATCTACATACATACAAACATATATATATATATTTATGTATGTGTATATATATATATACTCATACCTATATTTATATATGTATATACAAATATATGTAAATATATATATATGCATATATATATATAAACACATATATATATATGTGTATATATATGTATATATATATGTATGTATGTATGTATGTGTGTGTGTCTATATACTCATATACATAATATATACGCATAGTCATATGTATGTGGAAACATATCATGTGCGTATGTGTATATATATACATACATACATACATACATACATACATACATAACATTACATAACATTACATA